CAGTGGCTCAGTCTAGCCTCACTGCAACCTCTGCCTCCCGGGTTCAATTGATTCTCCTGCCTCAGCTTCCCAAGAAGCTGGGATTATAGGCCTATGCCACCACACCTAGCTAATTTTTGTATTTTTAGTAGAAAATACAATAGGGATTAAACCAGGTTGGCCAGGCTGGTCTCGACCTTCTGACCTCAGAAGGTCAGAAGGTGACCTGCCCACCTCAGCCTCCCAAAGTGCTGTATTACAGGCATGAGCCACCGCACCTGGCCGCAGACCCCTCACTTTTATGTTAGAAAGTAGGTAATTATGTTCCACAAAGTCACCATAAATACTGAACCATTTCTTGTAGGGGAAATAGAGTTGGGTTTCTGTGAGCCTGTGGTTGCGTTTTTGTCGGCTGCTCAGCATGGAACCTTGTTTTATGTGTTTCTATTTGAAGATGACTTACTTAATATGTATCATTGATTCATTAACATTGAACTCACAGGCAATGGCACTGTAACTTGTGCCTGAATAAAACTTATCTAGCATACTCTGTAAGGCATATCAGCCCTGTGCTTAGGAACGCTAGACAGCATTTCAGAACTCTGCTTGGGGAGCCATTTTAAACAGCAGAATCACCAACAAAAAGCACAAAAAACGTGGAAAACGTGGCAGTAGACACTTGTTTACAATATGAAAGCTTGAACAGGGCAAAGCATCATTTTTTTAGATCGCAGCTGCAAACGTGTGTTTGAGCAACTCAGATTTTTCACTGCCTTGCACATGTCTGAGAATGACCATGAAAATGCTATAAGAGGCCGGGCACGGTGGCTCACACCTATAATCCCAGCACTTTGGGAGGCCGAGGTGGGTGGATCACAAGGTCAGGAGATCGAGACCATCCTGGCTAGCACGGTGAAACCCTGTCTCTACTAAAACTACAAAAAAATTAGCCGGGCGTGGTGGTGGGCGCCTGTAGTCCCAGCTACTTGGGAGGCTGAGGCAGTAGAATGGCGTGAACCTAGGAGGCAGAGCTTGCAGTGAGTCAAGATTGTGCCACTGCACTCCAGCCTGGGCGACAGAGCGAGACTCCATCTCAAAGAAAAAAAGAAAGAAAGAAAACTACTGCAAGTGTTGATTTGAATGTTAGAAATTTTAGTGAGTGGTTGAATTCACAGGTGTGATATCTGAGGATAATGAGGATTGGCTATGTATAATCTTGCAGCCGTTGTACCTAATTATGGAAAGTAGAGGCTAGTGAGAATTTGTTTCCACAAATTTCACCGTGGTTTTTTTTTTTTTTTTTTTTTTAATGATAGTATTCCTGCCTGATATTATTGATGAAGAGACTAAGTATATTTTTGTGGCCTTTGGAAAAAGGAGTTGGTCTGACATTGGAACAAGCCTACCAGCCAGAATACTTTTTTTTTTTTTTTTTTTTGGAGACAGAGTCTCACTTTGTAGCCTGTGCTGGAGTGCATTGGTGAGATCTTGGCTCACTGAAAGCTCCGCCTCCCAGGTTCACACCATTCTCCTGCCTCAGCCTCCAGAGTAGCTGGGACTACAGGTGCCCACCACTGCACCCAGCTAATTTTTTTGTATTTTCAGTAGAGACGGGGTTTCACCATGTTAGCCAGGGTGGTCTCCATCTCTTGACCTCATGATCCGCCCGCCTCGGCCTCCCAAAGTGCTGTGATTACAGGTGTGAGCCACTGCACGAGGCCTAATTTTTTAAATTTTTGTATAGAGATGGGGTCTTACTGTGTTCCCCAGACTGGTCTCAAACTCCTGTCCTCAAGCACTCATCTTGCCTCATCTTCCCAAAGCACTAGGATTATAGGCATGAGCCACTGTACTATCCTGTAGAACAAAGGACAGGGAGATTAGACTAAAGGATGGAGGCTTGAGACATCATACCACAAGCAAGGATGTTTATCATAACAGAAGTTAATTGTGGCCAGGTATGGTGGCTCACTCCTGTAATCTCAGCACTTTGGGAGGCCAAGATGGCTGGATCGCTTGAGCCCAGGAGTTCCAGACCAGCCTGGGCAACGTGGCAAAACCCTGTCTCTACAAAAAATACAAAAATTAGCCAGGTGTAGTGGTGTGCATTTGTAGTCCCAGCTACTTAGGAGGCTGAGGTGGGAGGAT